GGTTGCAGGAAGTACACCAAGACAACCACTTTGCCAGTTTAGCTGAGATGATCCATTTATCTTCAGAACTCATCCTATGACTCCTCAGCTCACATCTGGTTAATGGACGTGTTGTTAGGAGGTGGTGGGTAGGTTTATTGTTGTTGTTTGGGTTTTGTTTTCCCTTTTGTTATAGGTAGGCGAGGCGGGGCTTGATGGCATTTCAACACACCTGCGACGCATCGGACGTCATCAGTGAGCGCTTTTAGGGAGTGGAGTCACGGACGTCTGGCGTCGGAGTATTGTCGCTGTCACAAGTGCCTGTTCCATTGCCTGCCCGCCTACCTAGGATTTTGTGTTGGCTATTGTGGATCCGCGACGGAGTGCTATGTTCCATCAGGCTGCAGTTACTGCAGCAGCTGTGGTTTGTGTGTCAAGTAAGCTCTCCAACTCTCTCTGTCCACTTGTGTTTAACATTCGGCTATCAACGGTACGCCATAAACTCTGTTTTGTTCCTTGTTGTCAGGTAGCTCCGGTGCGTCACCTGTCTACCTGCATACCTCGGCTCCGCCTCATATCCTTGGTTTGAATCTCCTGGCACATTTTTATTTATCACTGTATATAGCCCTTCCCTTGTAAATATTCCCTATTCGTATATATAAATTTGCATCACAAACTATTTTGTGTCCGTGTGTGTTTCTGCCACGTAATCCATCTGTGTCAGTTTACCTAACACGTGTTTAATGTTGGAGGAACAAATCAATGAATGGGTGGGTATGTGGATTTTCATAAGCATCGGTCACACACTCACATACTATTGTTTTCAACAGATAACAAATGTCTGGTTTTGTGTTAAAGTGTAAGGCCAAAGATATTACAGACCAAATCTAAAAATAATATTAATCAGCATTTCGAAAAGCTCTTCACTTAAACAGCAGCCAATCAGAAAAAAGCTGCAAACCACAGGAAGAATGAGAACTCTGGCCTCCTTCATGACGCTCCGAGGTCTTAGATTTTCAAACCACTTCCTGAGCTCACACTAAATGTCGTTACAGATCGTATGATGATAAAGAGCGTGAGAATTTAGTGGAGTGATACCACAAAGTAGCCTAAATATGATCCAAAGAAAGTACAGTACATGTCAACACTAAAATACACCAGCTCATGTTATTAGATACATGCAGTGTGATTTCTGGTCATTTCTGTGTTGGGCTGCTTCAGCCACTGTATTTATTTTAGCTGATATTTTTCAGATGAGGTTTAATTTTGTTTTGCTTTGTTTATTTATGTGAATAAAACCCTGGCTGAGATAATACAGCACAGATGCCCCATGAAGCATCATTTATAAAAACTAAATGTTAGTAAGTGTCACCAGGTTCCTGCAGCTCTGTGATCATCTTTCCTGTTCATAAATAACAACAGATATTAAAACACAAGGTACCAAACAGACACACACTTTGTAACACTATATACACTTTATTATTAGCTCTGTGATGAGAAATCTTGCTGTAGCAGGAGCAGGAAGTAGCTGCTGTGGTTATACGTGCACATCATACAAACATATAAATAGACGCTCTAATGTGCTACTGTTGCCCTGTCTATGTAACTGATAAAGTGAAGTTAAAGAGTTTTATACAGATATTAACTGTCCCATGAGGACAAAAAATGGTTTTTGATTTTGTGTTACATCAGCAGGATATGAGAACACCCTAAAGACTGAATAGAAAAAAGCTGACACATGAACACTGATGTTGTTTGTGTGGGAGTGGGTTTGTGCTGAGATCAGCCTTCTATTGATCTCTGAGCTCAGTACAAACTCCTGTGGTTCATGAGGACTTGGGATCCATGACACTGGTTTCACTGAACTAAAATGTCAAACTTTTCCTTAAAGCTCATTGATTTAACTTGTTGCTATAACAATGTCCACTTGCTGTCTTGCTCCTGCTCTTGCTATTCTTGGTTGCTTGTTAGAGGTTGTTGCCCACTGATACAATCCTCTGGCTCATCTGATCCCAAAAAGACTTACAGAGGAAAAAGTAAACAATAGGGTCCAGACAGATGTTGAAAACTGACACCATGGTGGCCACCTCCTCCAAGTAGAACAATAGTGGACCCGCAGAGCAACTGGTCCACAGAAAAGTGACAGGAAGACGAACCAGATTATAGGGCACAAAACAAACACAGAAGATGCTGACCAGCACCAACATGTTCCTGCGAGACTTCACCAGCTTCTCAGCATTGGAGGAGGCCAGCTGCCTCTGCTGTGCCTGCAACACCCTGCGGGAGATGCTGTGGTAGAAGAAGACCAGGGATATGAAGACCAAGAGGAAGATGATGGCACAGATGGTGTGGAGGATTTTGAAGAATAGGCTGATTGATGCACTGAGGAGGGGCCAACATCGGCTGGGGGTAAAAGTCAGGGGTTTCTGGGTGATGAAAAAGAGGATGCTATAAGTAACTGATGGAGCCAGGAGACAAACCCAGGTGACCATGGAGATGATGTGCGCAGTTTGCACTGACTGCAGGACATGAGTTCCTGAAGGATGGACGATTTTAAGATACCTGAAGAGAGAAGACAAAGGAGACAGTAGATAACTTCACGAAGCAGTCACAGTGGTACCACATTCGCAAAGGTCATTATCAAGTTAAAATGATATGTCTACACTGTTTCCGGGTGTCATGGCGCAGTGAGTGGACGTGTTTGGTGGCTGCTCCTTACAATCAGGAATAGAAAACACTGAAAACTCGTTAACAGACAACTCAACTGAGTAAGGCGAACGTAGTTGGTGAGGAATAAGGCAAAAGGAGGCCAAAATGCCAAGGGGACAGGACAAAGCCGCAAAAACAAATATTAACAATGCAACAGGACAAGCTTGCACGAGCCCCAACAGTATAATTAGCGACTTGGCTGGAGAGCTATTAAAAGCTATCGAGTCATCGAAATCAGAAATGAAACAAGATAACGAAAGGCTGAGAGAAGACAACACGCTACAGCAGGAACTGGGCGGCAAACTCGATAAGATAAAGGAGGACATAAAAACTCTGTCGGAGAGAGTGGGGGAAGCTGAGGACCGAGTGGGAAATATAAAATGATATGTCTACACCTTGATCAGCAATGCAGGGGTTTTAGCCATTAACACTGTCATGAACTGTAGTGGGAAATATGTAAAGGTTCCTCACCTGTTGGCAGCGATATAACACATGAATATGATGCTGGCATACATGTTCATGTAGAAAG